AATGATCTATCTCATAAAGACATTTATGAAACTGAATACGGCTTTCAACTAATAGCAACTTAAATGTAAAAATCTAAAATAATTAAAGAAATGACAATTGTATTAAAAATTCATTTTTCATTGAAAAAATTTTTTCAGAAAAAAATGTCCATAAAAACAAATAAAAGCATTTGAAATTAAATATCTTTGTTTTATTGAGTTTTATGTTAAAATTCAGAGATGATTTTCAGGTGTGTGTTGGGGGTCCAATTAAAAAAAAATATACATGGTTTGCTTTCCCCAAAGACTTGTGCTTTTACTAATGATTTAATCACTAACTAAACTGAATGCTATTGAATTTCTAGAGTTTTCATAAAATTAGTTGTTGGGGGGGGTGGGCGTTAATAAATTTAAAAAAATATATTTTTGCCATGACTTTTTTTTAAAGAAAACGTATTTGTAATAATTCCCATCATTTGTGAATAGTTTCTGAAAGTTTCCTTAACATCCAACAATTATTTTTATTTTTGAAAGATTTTCCAAATTAATGTCTGTTATACAAAAAAAAAACGTGCTAAAAATTTGTTATTTTACTAGTTCCGGTGATAAAGAGAAACAAGGGTTTTTATCATAATTTAGAATCTTCTAAAAAGAAGGAAAAAAATTTTTTTTAAAATAATTAAAAAAAAATACCTTGGTCTTTCCTCTTAACAAGAAACATTTAAACGATAAAATAGTTTTCGTCAAGTTTGGCGTCTTTTTTCTTTTCATCATACTATGCTCTTTTTTTTTTTTTTTTTTTTTTTTTTTTTTTTTTGCAATTTCATGAAGGTACATGTTCAATACTTTGCTAAAAAAGAGCATACCCTGATGATAAAAGGCCCTTAATAAAAAATATTTTTATTGTCAAATATGTTTATTAAGACGAAAGAACAAAGTATTTTTAATTATTTAAACAAAAATTTTCCTCCTTTCTAACACGTTCTAAATTTGGGTTAAAATTTTTTTTTTTTCCAACTTTGTAAGACTTTCACGTTCATCACTGTCACACATCGAGGAGGTCTGTATGAATATATCATCATTTTTATGAATTTTATGGCACAAAAAAATGATGCGGCGCCATATCCAATGTGATATTTTAGGAAGCTGTGCTTTGTTGATTGTTGCAAAGGCTCTCCGAACAACGCCCTTCAACTGATGGGTATTATTCTGGTATTGTTCATCTCTCTCTCCCTGATAATAATACCCTACAGAGCGTCGGAATTGAAAATGAAGAAAATTATATTATGTGGGGGTGACAAGACTTTCGGACCACCATGTACATTTTTAGACTTTGTTGCTCTGAGTAATTTATGGGCTGCACTCTACAAGACTGTGATTTATTTAAGTATTCTCTCATTAACCATTCTGAAAATTTTGTGGATATTTTTCCATTTTTTTTTTTTTTTTTTTTTTTTTTTGTGTGTGTTTTCTGGCCTTCAAAACAGTTGCAAATTACTCTCTTTCTGTGGTTCCCCCACCTAAGAATTCCCCCATACAGACGGCTGGAGTGGTGGGAAGGATAACTAAAAACTAAGTGGATTTCCGACGATTTTGAAGATCAGATTCGTAAAAAAAATTTTTGTTTTCTTCTCCAGACTTTAACTATAATTTTCGGCTGTCAGTGACATTTTTCTTGGTAATAACTGAAAAAAATTAAAAGTAAAAATAAAACGTATGCTCATAAGTAATTACTTGTTTAATTAATTAAATTTAAGCCCTAAAAAGTTTGTCTTTTTTTTACTGTTCTTTACTAAGTAAATTCGCGTATTTTCTGTGTTCACTCTTTTTTTTTTTTTCTTTTTGTATTTCGTGGAAAACATTGCATATGCGTAATCAAACAAAAGAACCAATGAGAGTTTATCTTTCTATATTGGTGTTTAGTCGGGGAGTTAGTATGTTAAATTTAGATTACAGATAATTTTTTTTTTTTCTTTAAATAATGTCATGTCCATTTAAGGAGTAGTTGATCATGACTTTCCATGAATTCCTTATATATGAATTATTATAAATTCCTGGAAAATATGGAGTTGTTCTCCATTACATTCTGTAGCTTGGAATTTAGTTTTTTTCCTTCCCTCAGACTGGGTGCCACCAAAGTTTAGAGAGTCCATTCCAGTTCACCCTGCTATCCCATACCTGAGAAAAGATGTAGGCATTCTGCTGTTCAGTGTTTTTTTTATTTATTTTATTTATTTATTTTATTATATATTTAAAATCCAATTGTCTGAATTCCAAACAATAATGAAATAAAAATAGATATCCTGGCTATGCCTGTTAAATAAATCATTTGTATTTACAAACATATGTACATGAAACAGTCAAAAAGGAGTAAAAATCTTTGGAAAATTGGTCCATAGAAAAATCTGTAGTTCAGAAAAAACTTTGATCATCAGTAAAGATGCACTGACCATCTTAGCTGTTGTTGTTGATGATTCATTTGAAGTCGCTGATACCTGTTTCTTTTGGCATGTGCTGAGGTGAGGAAAAACTATGTAGCCATGTCTTGTGATTGAACAGCTTGATCTCTGCTGCTGAAAGTTGAAATTTGTTGCTTTTTACAAAAAATTTTTTTCCCGAAAACAGGCTCAAGAAAGATAGCATTTTAGTTTTCTCTGATTGGTCAAATGTTTCATATAGTGATGTTAATTTCTAACCAATGGACACTTTGATTTAAACAGTGTGTATTTTATTGCATAATTTTTTTGCCATTTTTGTAAATGTTGTCTGTTACTGGGCAGAAAATAGTTTGGATGTGTTTTAATATGGTGTAACATTATTTGGGTTGCTGGTAATTAATAATAATAATGGTGACTTTGAATATCAATGAAAACAATGATGAATAACTTAGCATGAAAAAGGTTAAACAATATAAGGAAAGATAGACTGATAATGAAATTGTTCTCAGAGAATTGAGATATGTACAATAGAATAGATGATTGTCTAAAAGCAATTCTCAGTTTGTGTGAACAAGTCAAGTGTTGACAGTCTTTGACAATCAATGCTTGGATCTGACATGAGAAGAATTGGGTTAAAACTAAATGAATTCATTTTGTAGGATATCAGAATGAAAAACGATGAATTGACCACCTGCAGAACAGTGACCTTTTGTCTGAACAAATTGTCACCATAATGGAAGTTGCAAAAATAAATTTCCCTAGGAAAGTGTCTCTTGGGTCAAAGGCAAGAAAGCCAATTGTGGTGTCAATTCACTTATGAGATAAGAGCATTTGAAACTATATATATATATATATATATATATATATATATATATATATATATATATATTTATTTATTTTATTTTTTTATTTTTTATTTTTTTTTGTACAACTTGGCTTGGACAGCCCAACATGAAGATGCAACCTGCAACAAATCAATTTTGGCCTCCTTATAATAATCAGATCAATCAAAACATGGGGTAAGGCAGGTTGGGATCAAAGAGATCACTCCATTGATCAAACTAGGATCGACCCCAAAGTTTTACATGGCATGTGGGTATGCAATTGTGTGAGAAATAGGTTCTATTTCCTATAAAGAGATGGATTAACAGGCATTTGTGCAAAAATGAATGTAACAGACTAATCTGGAATTTGAACATGGCTCCCCAATTCCACTTTTCATGCAAATATCTGTTATGCTACTTACACTATCGACCAAGGGAAACTAAATTGTAATTGGACAAATCAATTAAGTAGAAAGTAAAGAGTGTGGGTCATACAAAGTTGAAACTTTTTTTGACCATCTCAGATTTTTATGAAATTCTAGTATATTGTACTCACCTAAGGAAAAATGAAAAACCCTGAAATTTTAGCTTCCATATGATTTTAGTCCAGGTGTTATGGCCTTTTAAAATTTGCTGTCAATTTTTAACGATTTCAAGAAATTTGCTATTGTAACTCTCTCAGTAACCCAAATCAAGTCACCCCTTAACTCCACCTCTCTTCAGTTTTCATCTCACACCATTGCTCCATATAGGCTGTGCTGATCTCTCTCTCTCCTTTCTCCCACCTTCTTGGCATCCATTTCCAAGGGCTGGTACAACTGTCTTTGTGATGGAGGTGGAAAGGGTGTTTCTAGTAATTAATCTTTCTTTTTCAGCTTGTCTCACTGTTTTAGGTGATTTTCAGATAATCGGAGCCAATCCAGAGTTGTTTTGTTCATCTGCATTTGTCATGGGTGGGAAAGAAATATATACCAAATATCTTTAGTAATAATAAAAAAAATTATCTTTTTTCTGTTTATTTGTTTCTTGGTCAGCTATAAAAAAATTTTAACGAATATCACAGAAATGTCCTCAATCTTAGGCACTAATCTTTATTTTTCTAAGGATATTTTTTACTGGGTGGCCAACACAATCCCTCTACACAAACTGGATGTTTTCCTGGCTCTTTCTCCCAAACAATTTAGATGCTATTTCAGGACCACCCATTTTCTTTACCGATAAGGTATTGGAAAAATATTTTTCTATTTTTCCCCAGGACTGACATCTCCAATGATACATTGTCTCCTTATTGACAGGAAATGAGGAAGGACTGGTAGTTTTGCTCAACCTTACTGAATCCGTCTCGTTAAATTTGAGTTCAATTCTCCTTGAAACTCTGTTTCATTTTATTATTTTAAACATAATTTTTAGTTCATTTTATTTTTAATTTTCTTAACTTTTCAATCCAATTTCCTGAGAACTTCAACAATTATCATCTAGTTAGTCTCTTTCCTCTTGCTTTTTCTTTTTTTCTGATTAACTCCTGGAGGTCCCAGTGCCACACTACCATCCCTTGAAAAAAAAAATAGTATTTTATACATTTTCCAAAAACATGGGAAGTAGCATGGTCAGTTGAATTCAAGATTCAAATTTTGCTAAATTATAAATCTTTTATCTCGCTCATAAAAAAAGCTAAACTTCTGTCAACTTTTTTAAGCTATATTTAGGTTATCAACCATTAAGAAATTGTTTAAAGATATTGTCTTTTTTTCTTCTATAGAAAGTGGATGGTGATTCGACCAAATTATGCCTTTCTTTCTCAAAGACAAGAGCCGAAAATGGCCCTCATCCAGCCAAATATTGATGATGAGAAATATTTAGAACTGACTGCTCCTGGAATGGAACCTCTTTACTTACCAAAATCACCCAAATCCATTATTCCACCAGAAATACTAAATTGCAGGTAAGTCATTCTTTATTTGTTTATAAAACTATTGATATCATGGATAGGATTTAAGGAAACAAGTCAAAAATTTTCACTCTAATGCATGACATCTTGATGAGTGTGGATTTCACAAGTATGTGAAAATTACACTCTAAGGTCAGTTGAAATAGAATTAACTTTATAAAAGCCTGGAAGAGCAAACTTGGGTAATTTGGATTTTAAAAATACATCAACATTTTAACTACTGCATTGTTTTAGTATTGTTGCCTGGCTTTGCTGGCCCATTTTGGGAAAATATGAAATTGTCGTTTACTCAAGATAAATGGTGATAAAGACATTGATGGTGATTTCTCAAAGATACAGCTGTTGTCTTTTTTTTTTTTTTTTTTTTTTATGCTCTGTAGAAAATTATGTGGACCAATAAATCCAAATTACAATATAAAAAAAAACATCCTACTGTAATATGCTCGTTCGGAAATAGTATTAAGTGTTAATTTATAATGCAAATACTAGGGCCTAGCATTTCATTGTATCTTGAATATATGGCGTATTTATCTAAAAATAACTATGCTTAAATTCACCTTCATCTCTACCATGAACTAGTGGCTTAGGGGTAGATTCTCCGACTGATGCCAATTCAGCCGGGTTTTGATCCTAGCTAGAACCATCCGGACATCTAGCCACACAGATGAGCTGTGATAGTGAAACAGTCTTTCTGTGAATGACAAATTATATATAAATAAAAGAATATGTCTGTGTATCACACTTTTTTTTTAACTTAAAGGGACACAACTCTTTAACTTTGAATAGCTAATTTCAAATGAAAAAAAATTACTGTTCTCAAATTAGTGTTTCAAAATAAAATTTTGTGTTTTCAACTTTACCCTTAGAGGCCATAGCCAAACCTATACCATTTTGAAATCAGGTCGACTCTGTAAGCAAATTAAAATCATTCTAGGCCAGATCTGGACCTACAATCCTGAAATTTTGAATTCCCAAGTTTTCATTACTCTGTGATTGTTTGTAATGATTTTTATGGTTTTTTTGCAACAAATATTTTTTGTATAATAAATTTTATAATTTAGAAATAAGTTTGGGAATAACCAAAATTAATTGTGAAAGTCAGCCATGAAATGATAATTGTTTGTATGGAAAGAAAGGACCTACGTACATCAAATTGTTTTTAAATGACGGCAGAAGAATTATTGAACTTTTAAAAGGTAAGCATAAATATTAATGCAATACTTAAATGCATCAATCAATTTTGAGTTCTTCTGTAGTTTATTGTTGCCTATTGCATCTACTAATTCCTACCTATTGTGATGAAGGCCCAATCAAGAGCCCTTCGCATAAGCTAGCTTAAATACCGCTCTCACACTTATCACTTGTGGACCACTTTTTTTTTCTTTGTATTGTTCTTTCTCTTTGATGAATTTTTTTTTTCCTACTCATATTCTCTAGCACTCATGAACTTCTTGTATCTTAGGGCTTCATTGCCTTGCTTTGGGCGAAATGATTGAAAATAATCAAAATAAATGTATTTTCACTGAAAAATACTTTATGGCACAAATATTAATTTTATGAGAATGGCCATTCTCTCTTTATTTTCAAACAATTTAATTTTTTGTCTTTTAATGTATCTAGACTTTATGAATTTAAGCACAGTACTTGATTGGCAGTAAGGTCTCATCATTTTACCATTGAAATGGCTAGATGTAATTGTAAGTTCTAACAATTTCTTCTTTCGCACTTCTCGCTTGTGGAACTCTCTTCTGACTTCTTGCTTTCCAGTCAACTTTGATCTTCAAAAATTTAAATGCAATGTCAATTGTTATCTTTTGTTTTGCTAATTCTTCCTCTTTTGTGTCTCTTAAGTGTTTTGTTTTTTTTTTTTTTTTTTTTTTTTCATTCGCTCTAATACTCAGTAATCCCTTGTATTTTAGTGGCTTTTATTGCTTTGCTTGGGATGAAATAATTAAAAAAAGAAAAATAACTGTCACTATCATAGACATCATTGGAACAATGTTCATACAGTCAGTCTAGCATGTTTACATTGGAAGTCTGTTTTTAAAAAAAAAAAAAAAAAAAAAAAAAAACTAAAAAAACTTTTTCATATTTTCTTTGTAAACAGATGATGAAAATGTTTCCATTTTCCGACTGTTCAATTTTTTTTTTTTTTTTTTTTTTTAAACAGCGTTTGGGGTACAGAAATAAGAGGAGAAGACTGTGGGAACGAGGCTGCCAACTGGATGAACAAATTTCTTGAAAAAGATGGATACCGAATGGTGATTTCTACAGATCAACTTGACAAGAGAGATGTCAAACTTAAAGCAGGAATTCCAGCAGACTGTCAGGTGATTAAACTTGAAATTTTTAACTATTTTTTTTTTTTTTTTCTTTTCTAGCAGTACCTATAAAAAAAAAATGTACAGTTTTCTTTCTTAATTTCCTAGTTATTAATTTAATTACTGAATATGTTCCTTACAATTCCCATTACTATAAAATCTCATTGGAAATTCCGCTATTATATTAAGTTTTAGCTTAACAACTATAATGAAATATGTGAAACAATTTTTAATATTTACATTATTGTTAATTCTCTTTGAATCTTGACTACCGTCTTGTGTATATTCCATTAATGAAGAATCATTATTAATGGAACTTGAATATTGCTGTAACCTAGGAAAATGTTACTGAATAAGAATAACCAAAATGAAGGTTGGAAATGGAACAATGATATTTATAACAGGAACAGCATACAAGATTTGTCAGTGGTGTGTTGTAAGTAATCAACTGCCAGTGGGGAGCTAGAAGTGAACCAAGGTGAATCTCAAGTGGAAGACAACATACAGTATTAAGGTTAACAAGCCATTCTTTGTCCCACTTAACAGATTATAGGTTGTTTGCAAGATCAGCCACCAATTTGACCTTATCAAACTGATTAGACTTACAATCGAGACAGGAGTAAATGGTTGTGCCAACAGCATAGATACCAAGTTGAGAGCTGGAGCCATCAGGGATGTTCTTTAAACATATTCACTGTTCTCTTGATGGTTCTTCAATAGACTCTGAAGATGGAAGCCAGTGTATGAATGTTGATACCATTACTGAAAGCTTGAATAATCTTTTTCCTCTCACCATTGCTCAGTTGAGAAGACATTGTGGCTGACACAAAAGGATTTTAACCTGTTCTCTTTCTGACGGAATAACTCGGAGGGTTTTTCAGTGATTCTTACAACAAATGGTGCCAAGAAGGCTAAACATCTTATCTGAAAACCTGGAAAAAGGAAACTCAATCATATATATTTTTTTTTTTTTTTTTTTTTTTAAGATATTAAACATTTTGTGGGATGGACAATTATGGTGTTACACTGGGTGTGTGTCTCTCTCATATATATATATATATATATATATATATATATATATATATATTATGAAATGGACAAAGTCTGACAATTATATTAAGACTTTTTTATGTTTGCACATTCTTTTTATAGATACAAATATTTAAGTAAATGCTCTGTTTATAATAAACAGTATTAGTAACATTTACCAGCCTGAATGTCTGAGAAATTTTCATAGAAAATATTTGTCCTCCGACAGGAATCAAACCTGTATCCTTCCTATATGGAACCATCATATAGTCTGACGTGCCTTAACTGATTGAGCCACAGAGGATTGTTCAGTTAGCAATGAAAATTTCTCAGACATTCAGGCCAGTAAATGTTATTAATACTGTTTATTATAAACAGAGCATTTACTTAAATATTTATATCAATAAAAAGAATGTATAAACATAAAAATGTCTTAAAATATATATATATATATATATATATATATATATATATATATATATACATACATTGGATAGATTCAAAATTTCAACTCAGGATGTAGTCAATGGAATCTTATTTGCACACCAACAACACATGGTTCTTGATAATAACTGAGGCAGTCAAAAATGTTTCAACAAAACGTGAATTTTGAACAGTTTATCCAGTTTTGGTCCTGATATATCTTATTTGGAAATTGGAAAAATACAATAAAAAAAAAATGAAATACAGACCTTATTGGTTGAATTTAACCCAAACTATTTTTACACTCCCTCATAAATACAATTTGCTGTGCTTCCCATAAGAGCTCCACAATTAAACAAACTGATTTTCCAACCAACCCTTGTTGTCATGCCCTATATCAACTGGAATAATTGCTTGATCTTTTGGTTTTAAACCTGTACTCTCATCATTTCTGCCTCTTGGAAAGTAGGAAACTTATTCAGAAGTTTTAACCTAATATACTTAGCAAAGGCTCAGCATGTAATACATCATTGTCAGGCCTGTGGATCATGACACTTGACTTTCCAAAAAAAAAAAAAAAAAATGTTGCTAGGGGACGCACCCTAACCCCTTGAGCCCTGTGTTTCTGAACAATTTTAACCCTTCTGCCCAAGTCAAAATTCACAAATAATTACGTTAAGCCTATGAATAGGCAATGATCTTCTCACTCATTCTTTTTCCTATTTCCTATTTCACAACTCTGGCTATAAGTTGGATGGGGAAAAACATTATCACCACTGGGGATGTTCATTTTCAATGTCTGTCTTTTCTCTTTTTTTTGTACTCTTTCACACTTGTCTATTACATAGGCCTACAAAAACTTCATACACACATATTCTCTAATTTAAATACTTTAGGAAATTAGTCTTTAAATGTATTCATCATTTATTGTAATCATAATACTTCAGTTAATACATGCATTGTCGTTAGTTTTATATTGTTTTTGTGTTACTCATTTATTACTTGGACTCGCATTTGAGTCTGCATAATTGTTATGGAAAAATAATACCAGAAGACACGGGTCTTCTACATAAACGCAGCGAGCTTTCCTGTCGTCTTCTACATAAACGCAGCGAGCATCCCTGTCGTCTTCTACATAAACGCAGCGAGCATCCCTGTTACGGGTCTTTGATCAATTTGTAGTAACCATGTTCTTTGCTTTTAATTTCAGTGTATCTATCAAGATAGCGCTCCTTTCAATATTCTTTCTCAAGCCTCCGTTGATAACCTTAACAGCAAAGTTGAAAAAACAGTCAGTGATAAAAACTTCCGAACAAACATTTTAGTGGAAGGTTGCATGGCATTTGCCGAGGTAAGTACTAACAGAAACTGTTTTTAATTCCCTTTTCATTCATGCCCTTGGGAAAGACACGAATCTGTCTCTTTCTATTCTCAATGATGGGCAAAATAGTAGGGTAGACTATACTCCCTGGCTTTAATTGGCAACCAGTCTAGAACAATTTTGCCTTCCCCACATTTCTGAATTCAATGAGGAAACTACTCTTCTATCTTGCCAAATAAGTCATGGCAATTCATAGATATTAAAGAAAAGGAAGCTATAGAGAGCCACAATCACAGGCATGATGAAAGGATATAGCAAAAAAAGAAAATGTCAGTCATCCAGGGCTTCTGTTTATTTGTAAAATCAAAACAAAAATATTTCATTTTCTTGGATGGGAAGTTCTTTATTTGCAAGTCAGACTAATATCCTCATCTTTGTTATTATCACAATGTTTGTGTGTGTGACCTTATGGCCATAAGTCTCTGACCTTCAGAGACTTATGGCCATATTGTATTGATCACCAACGTTAAACAATGTCAAACTGTCAGTACTTAGATAAGTATATAAAAAAAAAATATGTAATACCAAAGATAAACTGAAGGCAAGGATTATGGCAGCATTTATGAACTTAAACAAGGAGACCGTCCAGGAGAGTTGCAGGAGAATCTGAAGTCATCTGGAGACCATGGTTAAAGCAAATGGTGATTTTTAGTGAATAAATTTACTGTTTTGTATTTCAAGATATTTTTGTGTAATTTTGTTAAATATATATCAGTGTTTAGGACAATAATTTCTCCATCGCACACTCTGTGTGTGAACATTGAAGTCAACGCTTAGAGGCGATGGCCTGTTTCATGCTAGACGCAATTGTCAGGCCTGACAATTGCGTCTAACATGAAACACTGTCGCCTCTAAGTGTTGACTTCAATGTTCACTTTTTATATTTACACACGCTCTCTCTGATATTGAGTACTTTATTCCATAAATATAGCACACCTTAAGAGTATATTTCTTTATATCTATATATCTCCTATAATTGAGACCGTTGCCTAATTGGATACATCTCTTGTTTATTCGGTCTGTTAGTAGACAACATATTGGTAGCTGACTGGGAAATGGCTACTACCTCTCCCCACTCTCTCGTGAATTACCAACTATTTTTTCCAGATATCCCATAACTGGCATGTCACATTGTATTAATTTGGTTGGTAGTTTGTTTAGCAGCATGTCAACCTCTATGGGTTATTTAATATCAAAATCTAAATATTTTGTACTGCAGCTAAATTTTTTTTTTTTTTTTTTTTTTTTTTTTTTTTTTTAGATGATAATGGTTTAGTGATACAAGTCCTACTAATTAACCCATAGTGGGGGGTAGGGAAGAGATGGATTCTGCAGTTATATGAATATAACAAACCCAATTGGAATTTGACTTTCTGATTAACAATTCATCCAAATTTATAGCATCTCATATTCTCAATCAGTCACCCATCTTGGTACTGACTAGTCTTGACATTGCTTAACTTCAGTGATTGTACAGGAACCAGTGTTTCATTGTTATGTAGCCCTAAACCATACACTACATTAAATAACTGACATGTAAACCACATTGGCTCTAGAATTCTTTGTTGCTGCCAGTACCATGTAACCTAGTATAGTCTGTAGTTATTTGTAGAAGAGATGCCCATTGTTTGGTGACCCTCTTTTTTTTTTTTTTTGTATTTAGATTTTAGATGTAGAAAATATTAATTAATGATTTTTTGATGACACTGATTAAAGTTTGCATTTTACAAATTTTTTTTTTTTTTTTTTTAATAAGGATACCTGGCATGAAATTAAAATTGGAAATGACGTCCTATTTCACTACTTGGAACCTTGTGGCAGGTTAGTTTTCTTTTTTTCTTTGTATTTTTCCAACTTCATGCATATCAATGTTTTATATTTTATCTGTAATGGTTGCATTGTCTATTTTGTATTTTCAAGTGTAGCAATCTGATTTCTCACATGTCCCTAGATGAATAAATAATTTCTTTTTTTACCTTTTAACTCTATTTAAATGACCAGGTTTTTTTTCAGGAATCTTATCTCCAGCCCACTTTTGAATTGTTGAATTTTGTTAGTGTTTTTTTACATAGCCCTAAAAGTAGGGTCCTTTGAAAGACTGGCCACTCAAAACCTGTCTGGGTTGTCCCACTTTCTGATAGATGGAACACTAGTGGACGGAAAGGGGTGGTGGATTCCCCCAACCAATATCCGTATAATGAATTCAACAGTGAGTGAAACAGCTTGTAGTGAGTGTAGGGGTTTGAAAGTCAGTTAGAAAAAAATTTGCATTCTCATAACAGAAGGAAGGCATTGGCGACTAAGTGAGAAATTGTATTTTTTTCTACTTCCTGACATAACAAGTGCCTTGAAAAGCATTTATTACTCCTAATTTTGTTGATGGCAACCACGGCCCTAATATTGGTTATTGAAATGAACTTGTGGAACATAGCAAGCGCTGGAGTATTCATGTCCAGCTGACCTTGGATGTCATCACAGCTGGTGCAGTGATGTGCAGAAATGCATTACCACACAAGAACGATATTAAAAAAAACGTATATATATATAAAGAAAGAACAGTAAGATATATAATCCGGTGTTCTTATAGATATTTTTATTTTTACAAAATAGTGCTCAATGTAAATTTACAGAGTATTAATATTAGAAATTAATTGATTTAAAATATGGTTATTTCGCTACACAGTTCTAACCATGTTTCAAAAATGGAAGCTAAAAGCTTCAAATTTAATTTTTTAATTAAATTAAAGACATTAGTTCCATTTCATCCTCAAGCAAATTTTGGAGTAACATAATTTATAAATAACTTATTTATTTATAAATAAGTTACTCCAAAATAATGTAGCAAAATAACTATATTTTAAATCAATTTATAATATATATATATATATATATATATTATGCACGCACACACACATTTATGGATACACAACTGAGACATTAGAATGTTTGTTTTCTGATCATGAGACCTAGGTTCAAATCTCAGCATGGTTAATTTCTCAGGAAGGTGATGACTTGATGTCATTGGCCTGGGGAGGCAATCCCAGCATGTGTCACCCTTGGAAAGTGCTTATAAGCCATATCACCGGTTGACCCAAGCCTTGTGAGTGAAATTGGGTAAATGGAACTGTCCAGAAGCAGCTGTTGATGTGGTTGTTCTTTTTTGTGCACTCTATCTGCTCGTCAAAGTTGCAATATAAACCACAGGCTGGGTCTGCGGGTGTTGAACAAACATAAATGTGCCTGAGCAGGTGCCTGCAACAGGGATTGGCTAGCCACCTTAACAGACTGGTGTGCTCAGAAACAAGCATCTAGTATTTACATATGGTGAAGGCATTTTTGAAAAGTTGTGTTTTGACAATCATTTGGTGTAATCAGAAAAATTATCAACCAAACATTTAAAATGAAAGTTTTTCCAAATTGTCTTATTTAGTATTCCAGTGGATTCTCATTCAAACTCTACTCGTATATAATACTGTAATCCTGTCTGTATAAGATGCAGGTTTATTTCATCCAAAATCTAATGGCCTACTGCAACAAAGGGAAATAAATCTTTCATAATATTTCTCCATACTTTTTCTAGATTTTGAGTTTAGACACCTATATGAGTTTGTAACTCTTTCAAAGGTAAAAATATACAGCAAAATTTAAAAAAAACAAAAAAACAATACAGAATGATGCATAACTTTCAAAATAAAAAATCATCAAAAAGAATTTTTTATTTAAAGGCAATTTTAGAAAGTTTTGCAAACAACCATTTACCGACTTTGATATTTTTGTAATGCTTACGAATCACAAAAGTAAACAAAATGTCCTGTTGTTTTTTTTTTTCATTATTTTCTCTCATTATTTTCTCTACCTTTTTCATATATAAAACACACTTAATTTTAGAGCGAATAAGATGAGTTTTTTTTTTTTTTTTTACTGCAACTTATGCTTCCTAGCCATCTATACACAAAGGTTTATGGTATTTAATGTAAATTTTATTTTAAATGTCTATTGGCACATAAAACACATTACATACTTCATATTAAAAGAAAAAAAAGTAATGAATTAAGTATGTACCTCACTAAAAAATAAGCATACACAGTGAAAAAATGCCCAAAACTTAATAAGTTTTATTGTCAAAATTTTTGTTATTATTAAAAGGAAAGTGCAAAGGATTTTTTGATGTAAAAATTATTTTAATCCTTTTTAGAACCTTAAAAATTTTGGTTAAAATTTTGCTTTCTCTGGTGTCGATGGGGGACCATAAATTACCAAGGAGAAATTTGCATTTATTTGGAAATTCTCACAAAAATCAGAATTGTGGGATGTTAATGAAAATTTCAGAACTTCTTCACAAATGAATAAAATTGTGAAATTTTTAATTTTTTTTTAATTTTTTTTTTTTTTTTACATTTGTTACCCCCCCTTACTTATGAAATTTTTTTTGTAGTTGTTTAGACCTTGGTGAATTTAAATCCTCAAAATTTTGATCAAGCAGGAATGCCAATTACAGAAAATATACTCTGAATCATAATATAAAAAATTCAATAAAACTAAGGCATTTAATTAGAAAGACCTTTGATTGCTTTTATGAATAAAATAAATTATGGATACTGTTGTCTCAAAAAATTTATTTTTGATGAATAATGAAATTTTACAAGAATTATTTACCCTATTCGGACAGTTGTTCTCATCTTTCTTACCATATTCACAATGTTTCGAACATTGTTTGCTCTGGCCTACTTCAGGTGATTGGAATTTTGAACTAAACTTTTCATTTCATCTGCCAGGGTAGATTGTTCTAGTTCCACATACCATGCCTCTTTAGGATATCTCAGTATCAGTTATTTCCCTTTAAATCCACTCTCCAAGTTATTGTTCATCTCAGTTGTAGCTAGGTATTGAACTCACAACTCTTTGAGTCAAGCTCCTGGATTACTTCAACTAATGCTTTTATCCACTGGGCTATGATACCAAGATATCCAAAAGAGACATGGCATGTGGAACTGGAACAATCTACCCCAGTGGACAAAATAAAGGGTTCAGTTTGAAATTCCAATAACCTGAAGAAGACTGGAGCATATAACAGCTGAAACATTGTGAATGTGGCATCAAAGATGAGGACAATAGTCTGAACAATGTAAATTGTGTAAATAACTACAATACCTCATCTTGGAGATATTTACAAGAATTGTTTTAATTTTTAAAACATTTTTTAATTTGATTAATTTATAAACTTTTAAAATTCTGTATTAATTTGTAGCTGTCCATAAAAAAAAATTAAATAAAAGCCGTATTTACTAATCATAAAGCTTACTACAATTCAGCACCCCCCCATTATTTTAAAAAGAATTTTGAATTTGTGTGTATAAGCATGCTGAATTTTGTAAATACAGATGTCCATACACAACATTACCATTATCTTACCACTCCTATTTTCTGATAAAGAAAAAAGGTTAAAATATAAACTGGCAAAGTATGGAATGCCATATGAAAGAATGAAATTGTTTCTCATCAAAAATCTAGTTGGAAGAGAAGATAGACCTGAACAGAATGATTTTGTTGATTTTGATAAAGATATTATCAGAAGTCATCTCTTGGTAAAACTTGGTTGAGAGTTCTGGAAGTGAAAGTAGAAATTGAATTATATCTGCTACTTAAAGTAGAAGTTAAGAAAACATGTCTCATGATTACCTGATGGAAGAAAGGCTCAATTAAATTGATAACTTTGAAGATGAAGGCAAAAATCGAGAAAGTGAGTTATGCCTACCTGTCAAAGAGTGGGCCAATTTTTGGAAATGTAAGAAAATCAAGAAATATGATTTAATTCTACACTTGAAGAAATTGAGAGAAACGAACCTGTGAGATTCACGAGTTCTGTTAAACAAACAGATAAAAAGACAAATTTTGCTAATAGCAGCTCATCAAAAGCAGCTGGAAAATTTCTGTTTGCATAAAGACTGGAGGCTGAGAAAATTTGTTGATGAAAGTTAAGATAATTAAAATTAATGACTAAAAGTTAAGACTGCCTTTTCATCTACTATATTTAAAAATCAAATTTGTCAAAGAGACAGCAGAAGCTACAGGTTTAAATGAGATACTGAGAGAGAGAAATTACCTCCGCCCATTTGAAAGTAATGGTATGAGGCATAAATAAGAGAAAGAATGAGTTATGTGGGCAGGATGATACCTGCAATCACTACCAGTAGGAAATGGGGATCTCCCAAATTTACAGAGATAATTAATATTGCGAACCAGACAACAAAGAACTTTTGTTCAAATCAATACAGAAACTTGGGGAACCACCCAATTCTCAAACACTGTCAAACTCTGTGTGTGAGAGAGAGAGGTGGTGACTAGCAGACAAAAACACTACTGAAATGCACGTGACTTGCTGCCAAGAGAACTCCCGACTTGAGCCTTGTTCCAGAATTAGCACTGATAGCCAAAGTGTCACTATAAAGATTGTGGTGGGAAGGATTCATTTTTTTTTTTATACAAAGGACTGCATAAACCACATCAAAATTTGACCCAAAGGATTTTTCATTTTTGTTTTGTTTGCAAAGAACATTTCTAATTTTTTTCCTTCATAACACAGCTTCACCATGGTTCAAACTGATGCTATGATTGCTCATGATACTCAATACTCACCAGCTCTGTGATCAAGAAACACAATATGAGCAAAGCCTGGTGTGAACTAACACAGCCAATGTTCAATGGCCATTGACCAGTGGCAGTATCGACTAGGTGGGAACTGACCCAGAATCAACCAGTGTTATAGTGGTAATTATAGTAAACTTAAACTTTATTGGTAATTTTCTAACATTTCCTCATCA